TCTTCTTTCGGACGATGGGATTTGAACCCACACCCTCTTATGCCGAAGTCGAGTGTCTTTTCCACTAGGCTACACATCCATGCCAACACCTTCTAAAAAATAATGCCTGGAACGTGAGCCTCGAACGTGCTATCCTACCCTCAGATTTTACCCTCCTCCTTCGGTATGAGGGCAAGCGTCTCCGACGGCCACCCCCTGCAAACACAGCAATGCTCTCGCAGTTGTCTCCAAGCAGCCGCGACGTCACGTGAGACAGCGGTACGGAGGCGAGCGGTCTCAGGCGGTGACCGGTCGCAACAGAAGGCAGGAGGCATGGCCTCCGAGATTGCGTGCTGGCAGGAGGCTTGCAATTGAAAAGAGTGACGTTCCAGGCATTGTTTTTTTAGGAGGCGCTGTCCATGCTTCTGCGGCACATCTAAACTACATGAATATGCCTCTTTGTGTAAAACAAATGCAGAAAGGCAATACTGTCTAGTCTTACTTTTTTGTATTATGTTGTAAGGCAATAAATGTACTTAGCGGGACATGATGTAGAGTGGATATGGCATAATTGCACAAAGTATCATATTTCTTGTTTGCGAAAAATCGATGCCAAACTCGGGTATTCATTGTACTTCTGTGTTAACAGTGGAATAAAAGCGAGAATGGGTACGACATCTAGCAGTTGGTTCGACCCTTTCTTGCTGGGCAGCGAAAAGGCTCCAGTGGCCACTCTTTATATAGTATATTCCTCTATGACCGCATCAAGTCAGGTCACACGTGAGACATGAGCGCTATCTGGCAGTTATCTTGAAAAACGGGGCGCGCGCCGTGCGCGCCCGTCTCTGAGGTGATAAGGTGTAGGACGCAAGGTGATGGGTAGGTGCCACCGCCGTGTGGTCTTAGCAAAGCGTTGGAAATAAGTTCCGTTTAGTGCAAGCGTTATAAAGGCAACAATTCTTAAAATAACTCATTATGCCTTTTCTAGTAAAAGACGCACATACAAAATATATACGTTTTGTTATAGTGCCTCAGATATGCGAAAAGATTGCTTTTTATTTGACAATCGCGCAAGTATGAACGCTGAAAATTGAGCAGTATTGGTGGGCACTGCGGATAAGGTTGCCCGTTTGGAGTATCGTTTGGTCACTTTGATGCCATTTAGGGTACCATTATAAATATTGTGGTTAGTGTATATATGTTGGGTATGTAGTCATTAGCAACATGGATTAGGGACACCCTACGGATTTGGACACTTTTGTTTATATCTTTCATGTATGTTGTGCTTTGCCATTTGTTATTTTGCTTGTTGTATAGACGCTTGTTTCCTAGGTTCATTGCGTCTCACGATAGAATAAGCTTTTTGTAAAAAGCAAACAGACAGACAGACAGACCGAAATTTTTGCGCCGAAGGTCCCCAAGAAAGATTCTCGTCTTTGAAAGCCATTTTTGCGCACATATTCGGCACCATAACAGCACCTCGATGTTTTTATGTGTGCCTTTTTACTAGAGAAGGCACACAGAGGCCATTCTAAGGACCATAGCGTTTAACGCGCTCCGCTTACAGTGCAACGCGATGTTCGAAAATGCAAGTGTTTTCAGCGCTCATCTAAAAAGACACGGTGGTGGCACCTACATGTAGCTTTGCGTTCTACACCTTATCGCCTCCGAGACAGGCGTGCTTCTTTCTCCGCGGGCGCGCACGCCTTTCTCGTTTTCGAAGATAACTGGCAGATGGCCCTCGTTTCTAACGTTCCTCGATGTGCTCGCGCACTTTCGCTGCACGAGTGTAAACCAAGAAGGATGAAAGAAAAATTGCTGGAGTGGAAGCTCCTGCGATCGGCTTGCCAGCAGAAGTGAAGGCACCTATTGCCACTGCCAAGATGGCGGAACATGCTCTTTTCTGATAGTGCCCACTTAAAGATCAAGTGGTTTTGATACGTTATGTAAATGCTACGTTAGTTCTATATTAAAGGATAGTTGTTAAAGACGAAATAACACACAGAAAAAAGTATGGATGGCTGCATCCTTAAAGAACTTCGCCTCAAATTAGAGGCTCGCTACGGAAAACTAGTAACCTTAAGACGCACTTGGAGCACTATGTGGGCCGAAAGAGTTCCCACATTAAACTCGTTGGGCGTGCGAGGAAAACGCTTCGTTTTTAATGGCTGAACGGCGATACTTCATCATGCCCCTAGTAAGATTGCCACCACAGCAGCCATCTTGTCAGAGGACCGGCTTTACTTCTGCGCAAGCATTTCCACTCCAGCAATTTTTTTAATCCTCCTTGGTAGAAACACTAACGCAGCGCTTCCAGAACACAATTCCCCTATTTTCTCTAGCACGAACACAAAATAAACGTTTTCTTCACTCTCTGCACGCGCAAGACAACATTTGCAGTGAAACATGTAGATACAGGGCAAATTTTTTCCCCAGCGATTTTTTGACATTCTCCAACTGTGATAAAGCTTTCAGCATATGTTCCTTTTGGCACGTGTGATATTATATGCCAAAATGTAAAACCACAAGTGATTTAGTTTTAATAAAACAAACTTTAAAATTGGTAGCCAATCCCACAATCACATTTGTGAACCGGGGCACCCAGCGTATGTGACGTGTCTACGTGTCTGGTCTCCAAGCTATTTATTCATATGAGTGGCGATACTCCCCATAGAATATGTGTATGAAAATTCAGACACGTCAATGGCTGAGATGTTGGGAGTGAGCAGATGGTCGTGACACCTGTTAATCAGCACATCCATTGCTAAACGCAGTATTTGTGTTTTATGTTGCCGCTTCTAGGTGGTGCGGCCGCTAGATAAGTCTAGGAAAATCAGGCCAACTGTGTATCCCAGTTTAAGAACGCGGTTTTGCAACCGGTATGATTGAACAATTCTGGTCTGGTCTTTTTACCCCACCTCGTCCAGCAGATGGATGCAGCGCCCGCTTTCCTCTACTAGTTGACGAAGACACGAGAACAGGTCGGTTTTATCATCTTGATAACGTCTTAGTTGTCGTTGACCTCCAGTCTCACAGAAATAGCGCGCAAGGAGAGATCAATGCGTGACAAGTATGGATGGGGACAAGTAAGCTGCTTCACTTGCCGGTACGTTAAAATCAAAAGTCGATACTTGCGTGCTCACATAGTGGCTGCACTAAGCGCTGAACAAGTCATAGTAAGATCAGACCAGCTGTCGCAGCTCAAATCTGCGTCAGATGGCATCGTCAACTTGCGTTCTGCACATAAAAGGAGCACGTGTACAATGTTTACACTTTGCCAGCTGCACTGGCATGCAGCCATGGTTACGTGCTGCCATGATATTCGCACGCGGAGCAGCTCTACATTTCTGTCCTGGTTCATGATTTATTGCTCATTTAAAATTACTCACGAGTTTCGCGGCAAAAGAAACTTGTCTAACGGCTACAGGCCTGCTCAAACAATCGGAAAATGTCATTACCTAATATAGTTGAAAATGCATCAGAGTTGCCTTATTAACCGTGAAAACAACTTTGCCGGGGTGAAATCGCTGGCAGAGACATCTTTAGTGGCGTGTTGCGTGTGTGGGCCCACGTAGAGCGCGTAAAATTGCAATTGCTATCAACATCTGCCGGCGTAAAGCGTTAGTTATCTTAATGCTCGATCACGTGCAATAAATGTTTGTTCGGCGAAAGAGTATGTGTCTTTCAGAAACTGTCAAACCTAATGTATTGTCACGTGGTGGTCACTATGAAAGATGCGGTGGTCACTATGGTAGAGAGATTAAACTATTGGGCGAACTTGTGCCCTGAAAATTAACTCGGTGTACAAGCATAGCACTCTGTTTTCTGATAGCGCCAATAAATATGGTCAGCCTGCAGCAAAACGATTTCATTTTATACATACGTGATCGCGTTTTCCAGCGTTATCACTGTTGCTCACGTAAGCCAACAAATGAGCTTACAGCGAGTACCTGCAGTCCGCGCTAATTGAGGGTACTTTTATAATACATGGCGCGTTTTTACTCCCGCACACCACAGCGTGATTCTGACTGACGCAGAAGTTACGGATCCCAAAACTTTCGAACATGTGGTCTTCTTCAACGTGCATTGAAGTTGAAGTACATGAGCGTCCAGCATTTCGCCTTCATTGAAAGTCAGCCGCTGCGGACCCTAACAAAGCAATCGGAGACAATGTGGGAGTTTACAAAACATTGCGGCGGCCTTGCACCGGGTTGAAATCACTCTTTTTTTTTCGGATATGCATCCATTACGTGACCTTAAGAGAAGAGGCGCAGTAACGTGTGTGCCTTTTCTAGCGAGTGGTCGGCTTTAAACCACGATGTCACTATTGTAATAATTTTCTTACACCCGTTGGCAATGTACGCTTCTACATTATAAGTGCAATGTTGCATTGCCATGTTGTGAATGCACGTAAACAGGACGCACGTGTTTGTAAAGCATGTGTTGCGTTCACTACATTTCTAAGCAGAGTAAGTTATTTCAATGTATTCGCAAGCAAAAGTGTGGCTCTGTGGCAGAACGCCCACTTGCCGCGCGAACGACCGGCTTAGACCAAAGTAAGACCCAGGATTTTATTATCTCTGATTTTCATCTTTGTAGATTTCTCGGTCGCACACAAAACAACTTTTCGCTCACCACCGACTACCCCAATCACGGAATATCTTTAAAACTAGCCCATTAACGAAACCACATAATGATATCTTACCTGACGCATTGACAGATCGAGAATACAAAAATAGGCATGTGTTCATGTTCGTTGAAGTAAAGCCTTGATGCACGCTAGCGCTCCACATCTAGGCGTAGAATTTCAGTTGAACCGGAATATTTATAATATTTGTTTCACTTACATAGGTCAATATTTTGGTCATGGGAAAGATGGCAAATATTTTTCAATGACAACTAACAACGCCATCACAGAAGACAAAGCTGGAAGTTGAGCAGAGGGGGCTCTTTAACGCTACTGCAGTAAAAAAATCAGTGTGTCTGAAATGACAACTCAGAAAGCATCCAACACAAGCGCATTCTTCAGGAAACCATCAAGTATTGCATTTTTATTATTGTATTTAGTGAGCATAGCTCTAGTCATACATAGGTAAAAATCTACATGAGTAATGAACACTGCAAAATCTTCCTTTACAAAAACAGTGATAAAGTTAGAGAGTGAATAATATTAGAGGCCACTTTTCTGTAATAATGTTGCTCTTTTTAAGACAATCACACTACGTGCACGATTGACGACAAATTGTGCGTAGAGGAGCAGTTTGAAACCTTGAAACAATACCGCTTTGTTGTAGCGCGCATCTGCTGCCTTTTGTTCGTCGATTTCTCGTAGGATCACAGCCGACTCGTAAACCTATAATTTTTTAAAGACGCTGCTCGATATGTAAGTAAGCAAGTGATATGTAAGCAAGCAAGATGTAAGCAAGCAAGTGATAAAAACACGTTTATTTGATTACCCTGAGTAGATATCGCGAAGATAGGATGCAACATTAATACGTGATGAAGCAGCGGACAATTACTCTTCAGAATATGATGAAGCGGAATTCTTAAGCACGTTTACTCGATTATGTCGCCAGCTTTATTTCAATCGTCATCTTCTTGTATTGGCAAAAGCCCTTCGTGAGGCGACTGATATCTGCCAAAAATGATAGGTGAGCATGATGTAGTTTATCAAGACTGCGCTTACATGAACAAGGTGGGTCATGGACTTCGAGCATATCGAATCTCCTTCCGTTTGGATGTACCACGGTAACCGACCGAGAAGAAGGCAACCACTGAGAACCTTCACGCAAATCATTAAACTCGATCTCCAAACCTAAAAGCATAGCGTCTTCAGCAGCAATCTTTTTTACAGTGACGACAAAGTAGGTGTCTCATGTGCCACGTGGTCACTTCAGCGAACGTACGGTCTTCCGTCGGCATTTTTAGGTGTCAGATTATAGGTGACGCTAGGTATTTCTGCACCCACTTGAGAGTTAGCTGTTTCTAATTTAGTCAAATGACGAAGCCTATCGCGACTAGGAAGCGTGGGCTCACAATGAGCAATTACTGCAGCATGATCGAATTGTCGCATGTTCTGACGTAACTCTTCCACAGTGCCGAGCGTTACGTTGGCGTATTGCTCAAGCTTTCTAAGAATAACTGTCTTCTCCGAAGACGGTGACAGGGCTGACATCGCGGCATTATGATCCTCGAAACTTGCTCCCTTTATCTGTTTTCGAAAAGTTTCAGATATCGCTGAGGTTACGACCTCGGTCACGACATTACTAACAGTAAGTGCAGACTTCCTTTGGCCGTCATTGAGTACCCTTATTAAGATTTGATGGTACGCGACATTTTTAGCAAGACGAGTCATTTGGTCCTGAAGTGGAGCCAGCTGAGCGTCTTGGTAAACGTCTATTGCAAGCGCGTTCTCGTGTTCCTCATTGACGCTGCAGTCTGGAGAAGCCACTGGAGTAGTTTGCGACGCTGAGGGCTCCGTCTCGACACACGAACGTTGGTAGGGGCACCCATTCATTTTGTGTTCTACAGCCTCATTGCGCAGGATGTAGTGGTTTCCTGTCCCGCAATACAGCACGTGGAAGGCGCAGTCGTTCTCAAAGTGCTGCAGAAGGTCTTCTAGGGGTCCCGTGAACTTGCAGCCCATTGGTTCATTCCAACAGTACACCTTAAAAAATATAAAACAATGTTGGTTATCAGATCAAGTCGCTGAGTTTCAAGGCAACATGAAGCGTTGGATTGGTCCGGATATTAAAAGATAAGGTTAATTCATTGCCACAATAGTGGGTTTTTGTTACAGGTGATTGCACAACTCATGAACAGTGACAGCTCGATGTATATTGTAAATATTTTTAGGAACAGCATGAGTTTGTCGCAATTTTTTACATACATTTTTTTAACTGGAAGTTGATGTAGTAACACAGACGCACGCTCGAGGCCAACGAAGAAATGCCCTTTATTCAGATAAAGCACGTGTTTAACTAGGCTTCCCTTTTACCCTGTGGTGGTGCTGCTGCAGCCACTATGGTGGTGCGTTAGCACAGCACAGGGAAATAAGTAAGAAGGGCTGCTACTTGCATTGCGAAAGCCCAGCTCTAGACAAGCAAAAACTATTACTCTGGCGGAGCGATCTTGCAGACGCAGAACAATCACTACATAGGGAAGAAGACAACTCAGTATATCTGGAGAGGTGTAGATATGGCCATGCGTGTTTACGTAACTATCGATTCAATAAACATATATATGTTTTACGCCTCAGTTTTAGGATTCATTACCACTAGAATGTTAAACCCGTTTTCAGATATATGGTGAACCGCCGATTATGTTTTGTTCAATATAGAATGATATACAACATAGAATGATATAGAGAAACTAATGGCACGTGAGGAAAGGGACGCAGCCCGCGTTTTGCAGTGCGTTCTTCAACCCAAAAGGACGCACGAACAGAAAAGAGACAGGATGAGCGGGAATCAACAACTGTCCAGCTCGACACTTAAAGCGCTCTTCAAAACACAAAGGACGAGGCACGAAATGATCGCACAAGTATACAGAGAGACGAGTACTGGAAACTGTAGCCATTGTTACTTCTTTTTGTAAGAGTGGCTCACTACTTTCCCCAAACGCGGCCACTGCACCACATGAAATGACATTTGTGCTTTCCATAACTTCAACGCAAACCTGCGGTGAAAGCAGATGATGTGCAAGCCACCCACATACGGGAATAATTATATGCGCGGACGATAGACAGCGCCATGTTGAGGTGCGTGGGCATCGAAATGGGTGGGGCGATGACCCTTGAAGCTCATCTAATGCCCTCTTTGCGCTAGTTCGCTTGTGATAACAACACGGCGAAGCCACCAAGCTCCGAGTTCTGCCAATGACAAATGACGTTCGTAAATGGCTCACTGTCACTGAGTAAAGGAACGCATTCACCGCGGCCGAGCCCATTCGCACTGCGAAGTGAGCTTATTCTGACTGAACATTCTGACCGCCGAAATCGCTCTATGCGCACCGATCACTCTCGGACCTATTTTTGCGGTGTAGGAGCGCCAGTCGAAAAATTTGAGTAAATGGCGGCCAAGTCCAACTCGCTCGTCATGTCATAGTCTAGTAACGCGCGCTTAGCAGAAATGCTCATTGAATGGGGGCGCAACCTCCCCGTCCTGTATGACAAACAGCACACCAAGCAGACAGCTTGCTAAAGCACGACTCGAGGAATAAAATAGGAAACGAGCACGGATTGATTAATAAGTAGGAGTTGCCTCTGCCTCTGTTGCTTCGCTCCTCAAATCGCGAGCACCTCGTGATGTAGTTTCCTTCCTCTTCCGAGTTGCGACCAGCATTGGAACACGCAAAACTAAGATCCAACTCTTCACGCGAGCACTGAAGTTGCGAGGCGCCGACAATATCCCAGGAACCACGCATTCAGCCCGCGCTGAACCCGTGGTTCATGGTTCACTCGGCAGATGGCTATCCGGCGCTGCGGTGCGCGTCCAGCGCGAACGACGCTGCGTTTTGGCGACACGAGAATTTCAGTCGCTGTTGGAAGCGAATGCTTCCGTGTTAACAAGGGTTTGTTATAGAGTCCTGGCCACGCTAGTGCAATTGGAGTGTCATCGTTTAGGTTTTCGCGCGAGAAATTACGTCCATCCGTAACATCCATCTCGTGCGTGTTTCAAATGTATACGTTGCGATTCGGCAGCGGTTTAATGCTGCTTCGACCTGTGGGGAAAATAGTCAGTGAGGTACACAGAAGTACGGAGCAAAGCATTATTTTCTCGCCACTTTTACTTGCACTTTTTTGAAGTGCTCATCCGCTTGACCTGGCCACGAATGTGCTTTGCTGCTCTTATAGTTGTTTTTTTCCAACATAAATAAGACAGAAAATTATCGATGTGTGGCTATGTAATCCGGCCAGACAATTTTTCATTTGCCACGCATCATTTGACCGCTCTCTCTTGATCTCCTTGTCAAGGCAAAAGAAATAGCAGCTGATTGATTGCTTTGTGGGGTTTAACGTCCGAAAACCACCATATGATTATGAGAGACGCCGTAGTGGAGGGCTTCAGAAATTTACCACCTGGGGTTCTTTAACGTGCACCCAAATCTGAGTACACGGGCCTACAACATTTTCGCCTCCATCGGAAATGCAGCCGCCACAGCCGGGATTTGGTCCCACGACCTGCGGGTCAGCAGCCGAGTACCTTAGCCACTAGACCACTGTGGCGGGGCAAATGAAATAGCAGCTGCTGAGATATAAATCATCTGTTTTTTTAGGGATGAAGCTTCTTATAGCGGCACCCGTTCGTCCCTCGTTGTCGTAGTGTGTAACCAGTCTTACGTTTTGACCTGCAAGATGGTGGTGGTTGGAGATTTCTCCTGTGCGTTGTTCAACAATAAAAATTCATAGCGTGCGCGTTAACTAAAAGCCGAATTCTCCGGTCTCTCATTCCCCTTTGCAGCCATTGGCACGTATATTGAGCACTATCTGACAAAGAAGGGGTTGCTACGTTATACTGGCCGGGCGTAACCTCCTTGGTTTTCGAAAGGTTTTGCGAGCGTTGGGCCGCAGTGCCAAGAATACAGTTAACTAGTCCATACCATGAAGTCGAGGTGGTTAAAGGTGGGAAGTAGACACGAAACGGAAGCCGTAAGAAAGTGTGCGTGTGCCACCTATTGTTTAGTCCTTGGAATGTCCGCTGGATGGCTGTGCTTCTATATGGCGAATATATGATAAAAAGATGCGAGATGGTGGTACTTGGAGTGTTGAATAGATGGACGAACGGACACACAGACAGATGCATGGACGGACTCACAGATGGCTGCACCGAAGGATGGACGAATGAATGGGTGCATGGAAGAACGCAGGGACGGACGCACAGATGGACGTGCGGACGCGCGAACAGAGGCACGCACGGACAAATGGACGCACGAACGAATGGACGCGCGGACGGTCACACAGACGGACGCATGGACGGACGGAAGCAAGGACGAATAAATGGACGGATGCTTCGCCCCGCTCTCCATCTTCACTCCGTAGATATGCTGCCATTTTTTAACGTATGTGACGGTACAGCTACGAATGTCAAATGTAGGCACATACTTGCTAACTACACGAAAGCGAGAAAAACGGACGTGTAGTTAACGTAGCATAAACGGACCCTCGAACAATTTTGACCATTTAGTATCAACACGTAGGACCTATCAACCAATCCCGAAGAGGCAGTTACAGTTCAGTTTGAGCTCTCTGCGTAAACTGTGCGATTCATTACAATGGTTTACGCAGAGAGCTCAAACACGTTTTCAATGGTTCATTCACAAAGTGACATGCTTTGCCCCGATAGCTTCACCGTGGTTGCTGATCTGATTGGCTGCGGAACACGAGGTACAAGCCTGTGAACACGTGGCATAAGCCCCAAGCTCCCTGAATGAAGACGTATTATATGTGGGGTTTAACGTCCCAACGCCAACATACGATTATGAGAGACGCCGTAGTGGAGGGCTCCGGAACTTTCAACCACCTGGGGTTTCTAGCATGCACCCAGGTCTCAGCACATGCGCTTACAGCATTTTTGCCGTCTTCGAAAATGCAGCCACCGCCCCCAGGATTCGATCCCGTGACACCCAAGTCAGCAGCAGAGTGCTTTAGCCACTAAACCACCGTGGCGGGGTCGAAGGAAGAGTTGAGGAAGTTCTGGGTGAAAGGACGAGCGTAGGAGGAGGGTAGCTATCCATTACTCGTAGCTCCGTTAGTAACGGGCATTTTTATTGAATTATAGTACCAGTGACTTGCTCCAGTGGTGGTCTAGTCAAAAACAGAACGCAAAAAAGAACAGTTTTCAGGCACGCTTTAGCCAGTTCGCTGTCGCAATGCGTTCTACAATGCAAGTGCTACGCATTAGGAATTTTGTGTGCAGCGAGAGATCGACGATACAGGAAACGTAAGTGACGCAGAAGAGCGCCGAGTCACAAATAGGACAGATTTCGCGTTTTTCTCTGCACTAGTGTCATTAGGTGATACACTTCGCAACTTTTAAATGCGAAGCATTTCTTAGCAAACTTCAGCGACTTTGAGCGTATCTATCTATGTATCTATCTGTCTATCCATCTAGTCGCCTGCGACCTTTAGCTCTCCTGGCCGTTTCGGTAATGGTATTGATACCAAACATGGTATGACATAATATGATTGTATGAAGAACATATATGCCTAGTCATAACATGAAAGTCATGATACGTATGTCATGAATGTCATAATTTACATTTCATGGTCTTGCAGCTGTTGCGGTGGTTTCATTCACATGGCAAGTTGCAGAACTGGTATGGTATCACATGATTGCATGGTGAACACAAGCGACAGAACCTAACATGAAAATCATGACATGCGGGTCATGTAACTACATGACTACATGCCACGCTCATGATGCGCTCGCGGCCATTTCGCTAGCGTCCCATACCAAATTTTGTATGACAGTACGTGAATAGATGACGAAAGTATGCGACTGGTGCAAACATGATAATCTCGGGATTCGTGTCAAGTAACAACATTACTACATGCCACGCTCATGATGTGCTGGCGGCCGTTTCACTTGCTTCACTTATACTAAATTTGGTATTGCGAAACGTGAATGGACGACGAAGTTATGATACTGGTGCAAACATGAGAAATAT